AAATGGATACAGGATTGCTGATGATGTTGCTTGTCCCAGCGATTAAGGTGAAAATTTCAGTTTTGCCTGTGACCCAGATAATGTGAAAGCACATATATTTCTTGATGTCAGCCGTGGGAACTCAACAGCTAAGGCCGCGTTCATCGTTCGCGATTCCGAGATAGGATAAGTAGTAGTAAGGATACAAGTAGGGGAAGGAGATTGCGCTGACAAGATAGAAATGATGATGAAATGCGCTGTAGAGTAAGTTACGATATTACAATAGTATGCTAGTATAGAGTAGGAGAGATTAGGTAGTATTAGGTGTCCGGCTAATTAGTTGAATTCACTTTGGGTGTTTTCTAATTTATCTTTTTCTTTTTTATGTGGCTTTGCTCATCCAAACGTACAGCCTCTTCCATCTACAATGTATTGCCTTTGGAACAAGGAACTTGTGGCTGTCTACTCTGAGAATTCCAGGAGCTGTTGATCGACAGAAAGATCGATGTGAGTTTGAGGTCGATTCACTTTAGCGATAAATTTCTTACTTGGTGAACGAGCGCTACGAGGCCAGCACTGAATGCCTCTTATTGGCGAAGCGAGGATAGGGTCATCACAGAGGAAGTGAGAATAACGCGCTAGCCCGATAGTCTCCAAGTTTTTATGATATTCTAGCAAGAGTTGGTCGACAACCTCAGGAAAAAAGCAGACTTTGCGTGCTTTACTTTCAAATTGACTGCGTCGCCATTACGCTGGTAGATGTTGATCTTTCCTTTAGTCACCCTAGTATTACTCGTGCGCGTCGGTTCCCAGTCGCAGATCACGTCTCGTCCTCAGCACCAACATTCTCTTAAGCGGTCGTATCCAGAAGCCGTTTTGGTTTTGCTGTCAGAAACTCCGGAATCGTTCACTGGCTAGGCTACTGCTTCCTTGGAGATTTGCTAGTACACCTTCACCCGTCCAGAAGCCTGTGATATACGGGCGATCACATGTAAGGAACTAAGGGAGATAGAAGGAACATGATGAATGTCGCTCGTGTGCGTAGCCTGTTTTCGCTCAGAGCGTAGTCAGAAGATAAACTAAATATTTTGAAATCTCCACAACTCTGCGTAGATGTTTACATTCCATCATTTTGACAAGTCGGGCATGCTCTTGCAAGCAGCGACTAGTTTGTCCATATCCACGCTCAGTGGCGCTGGGTACAGCAGTGAGATTGCCAGTTGAGGGCTAGTTGGAGTGTGGGTCATCTTCAACTAAAAAAAGCTAACTATCGATAGAGTGAACTACAATCAGACGGATTAAGGGAGCGTGCCCTCGCCTATCTGCCGGTCAATTCTCTATGTTGTTGGGCATTTGAAAGATCCTAATCAGAAGTGATCAAGAAGGGAGCTCAAAAATAGGTTCCAGAAAAATTTAAATATCAGCCTCGGAAGGCAGCATGGTACTGGGCTGAGTAATTGCTCAGATAGAATAATATGTATGCTATTTCGCAAAACATGTTTCACGCCTTCACCAATTTTCTTGGATTTTTAATAACAATAAATGTACGTGATTCACTAATTATGGGACAACCTAATAAAATTCTCAGAAAGAGATTGGAACAACTCGACCTGGCTCAGATTTTAGGTCTTGAGAATTTTTATTAATTCCATTTTTGCAGTTGTGATTGAAATTCAACAGATGTGCAGCAGCCAGATTTTCACGCATAGAGAAAGTTGGATCCGAGTGTGCCTTAATGTAAAACATTACCTGATACTTCTAATGTTGATTATTTGATGTATATTAGCTACATATGGGCTCATACATTGGTAATGATCATTATCCATTTAAAGTAATCATCACACGAGATCCCAGAAATCATCGATTTTTTTGACATTACTATAGGTGGCGCGCCTTCGTTCTTTCTTTTGGACTTAGTTTCGGTCAATTTGTTCACGTCAAGTTGTCGAGTTGTCTTTTGGCCCCTTCTGCCGTGGTTCTGCATAAACGGTACTTACATAGAAGTGCACTTAGTAGCAATAAACTACTACATCAACCCGTTAGTCAAAATACTCGTAGCAACCACTGAGCCAGCGGTAGGGTCTGTGTGGTGGGGGGGGGGCTAATGAGCATGCGACCGCATCGCGCCACTGCGGGCCTGCAGGCGTTGGTTATCTTTACTGTGGCAATTTAACTCTGTTACGACATATTGTTTTGTGCGTGCTTTGTCATTGCCTCAGATGAACGAAAAGTGTATTTGCTTTGTATGTATGTTGGGATCGCTTAATGAAACAATGTTATCTTACTGGATTATTTCCCGCACCTAAGCCTGTGGGGCGAACACTATTCGATTCAAGGTATATTTGTCGTCCGTATTTTTAGTCGTAAATGATGAGCCACGTGCCCCCCCCTGTTCTGCATTTTCCATCCCTCTTAACGTTCTAGAGTGCTTTTCCTACGGTTTGATAGAAATTTCTGTGACTTGTGGCGACACGTTTGAGTGTATTGACAATAAATAATAAATAACTTACACCTTGTTTGCCGTTTCCTCGCTCAAAATGTGTTTTGACGCTACCGACTCTGTGCAGAGCTCATGCTCTGAGTTAGTTTTGGAAGTGCCAGATCCGATCATTGGCACTGCCACCGTAGAATGAACGGAAATGCTCATTTCGCGACACCAACGTAGGTGTCAGCAGCTAGACTGTGTTACCATTGTCCTGAATTGCGGTTGGACGCTGCGACGTGCGTGGCAGGGCTCATTGTCGCTGGTTGCTGGAATGTAGGTGTAATCCGGTATTCTGTGCTCAGCAAAACATTTTTCTCTCACTCTCTTTCTGTGAGCCAGAATTTTCTACAGCGAGGGAAGCTCGTGAGCAAAAGTATTCAATTTACTTCACTTGTTGCCTTTGCTTGAATTGTGTCGACGCTGCCGGCTCCTGTGAGCAGGGCTCATGTACCCTAGTCTGTTGCGGGCAGTGCCCAAGATTTCGACATCTGCACCCACTAAATGAATACGGAATCGCATCGCGGACACCAAAGCTTTAGTGGGTCAGCAACTAACTGAGATACCATGTCCTGATTGTTGTTGACCTGCCCGACTCTGTAGCAGGGCCTCATGGTCCCTAGTTGTTGAGTGCCCCAGGATCCGATATCTGCAATCACTGAATGAAACAGACATCCATCGCGACACCAAAGCTTAGGGTCAGCCAACTTAACTTAGTAGTACAGATGTCCTGATTGTGTTGACACTGCCGACTCGCCTGTAGGCAGGGCTCATGCCGTAGTGTGTGTACGAGTGCGCGACAGATCAGACATCGACCATAAAATGCAACGGAATCCGCAGATCGCGACACAAAGCTAGGGTCGAGATACTAACTTGTAGTACCATGTGCCTGATTGTGTTGACTACGCCGACTCTGTAGCAGGGCGGGCTCATGCTCCTCAAGTTGTTGGGGAGTGCCCAGATCCGATATTCTGCAATTTACTGAATGACAGTAACTTCGCCATCGCTAAACCCTAAGCGTGAGGGTCAAGGCAACTACCCTGTGTTGAGTACCATGTTTCCTGATTGTGTTGACACTGCCGACCCATTGCAGGGCCTGCGTGTAACTCAAGCTAGGATGTTGGAAGTTGGCAGGCTGTTTTAGATTCCGGTATCTGCAAGCACCGTTTTTCTCCTTTACTTTCTTCTCTGAGCCAATTTCCTTACAACGAGGAGAATCTGATGGGCAAGTAATTCAACACTAACTCTCTCTGACAAGACTGCCGATCTCTGTGGCCAGGGGATCAATGTCCACTTGTTGAAGCTGCCCAGATCGCAATTATCTGCAATTGGCCGCACTACGGTGAAAACAGATCCATTCGCCACACCAAAGCTAGGCGTCAGCAACTAACGGATGTTACCATGTCCTGATTTGTGGTGACACTGCGACCCCATTGCAGGGCTCATGCTCCTGGTTGTTGGAAGTTAGTGTAGATCCGGTATCTGCAAGGCAACGTCGTTTTCTGCCGTGGACGTACTTCTCTTTACTGAGCCTTATTCGGTCTGGTACAACGAGGGAAATCTTGTGAGCAAATATCAGATCACCTCACTTGTCTTGACGCCGCGTGCCGACTTCTGTGGGCACTGTGACTCAGTGGTTCCAACTCTTGAATCCCCCCGTGGATCATCTGAATTTGATTGTTGAAGCTCTCCCAGACGCATATTCGTGGCAATTGGGGTTGCCCACCGTAAGTGAAAACAGAATCCCATGCCCCGCAACCTCTGGCGGTCACTTTGCACCAAGCTAGGGGTCAGCAGACCTCTACACTGTGTAGTACCATGTCGCTGATATGTGTGACACTGCCGACCCCATCGGCTAGGGCTCATGCTCACTGGTTGTTGAACAGTTCGTCGGTAGATCCCATGGTAGCCTCGCCAAGCAGATATTTTCTCCTTCACTTCTTTTCCTGGCCAGAATGTCTACAGCGGAGGAGAAGCTGTTGAGAAAAGTATTCAATTACTTACTTGTTGGCGTTATCTGCTCGAATTGTGTCGACGCTGCCGACTCTTTAGCAGGGCTCGAATGTTCATCTTGTGGGGAAGTGCCCATGACTCGCATATGCTGCAATTGCGCCCGATTAAGTGTGAACCAGAATCCCAATCGCGACAGCAAAGCGTAAGGCCGTCAGCAACTTACTTGTAGTACTACTGTCCTGTTGTCGTTGTACATGCTCGCCATCTGGTAGCCAAGGCTCTCGTTGCTCTTAGTTGTTGGAAGGCCCAGATTCGCATATCTGCATTGGCCCACTAAATGGAAAAGATCCATCGCGAACCCAAGCTAGATTATGAATTCATTAGGGTTCAGCAATAACTTGTACGTACCATTGTCCTGATTTGGTTCTGAAACGCACGCCGACTTTCGTGGCAGAGGTGCTCAGTGGCTTCTGCGTTGTGGTGCGACAAGATAGGTGTAGAGTCCGCATCTGAGACAACATCTGACCTTCACGTCTTTCCTGTAGGCCAGAATTTTACAGCGAGGGAAAGCTGTGAGCAAAAGTATTCAATGACTGTACTTGTTGCGTTCTGCTTCGAATTGTGTCGACGCTGCCGACTCTGTGGCAGGGCTCATGTTCCAACTTGTTTGAAGTGCCCCAGATCGCATATCTGCAATTGGCCCACTAAGTGAAACAGAATCCCATCGCGACACCAAAGCTAGGGTCAGCAACTAACTTGTAGTACCATGTCCTGATTGTGTTGACACTGCCGACCCCATTGCAGGGCTCATGCTCCTGGTTGTTGAAAGTAGTGTAGATCCGGTATCTGCAAGCAACCGTTTTCTCCTTTACTTCTTCTCTGAGCCAATTTCTACAACGAGGGAAATCTGTGAGCAAATATTCAATCACTCACTTTCTGACGCTGCCGACTCTGTGGCAGGGCTCATGTTCCAACTTGTTTGAAGTGCCCCAGATCGCATATCTGCAATTGGCCCACTAAGTGAAACAGAATCCCATCGCGACACCAAAGCTAGGGTCAGCAACTAACTTGTAGTACCATGTCCTGATTGTGTTGACACTGCCGACCCCATGGCAGGGCTCATGCTCCTTGTTGTTGAAAGTAGTGTAGATCCGGTATCTGCAAGCAACCATTTTCTCCTTCACTTCTTTCCTGAGCCAGAATTTCTACAGCGAGGGAAAGCTGTGAGCAAAAGTATTCATATTTCAATCATCACTTTCTGACGCTACCGACTCTGTGGCAGGCGCTCATGTTGCTAACTTGTTTTGAGTGCCCCAGATAGCATCATCTGCAATTGGCCAACTAAAGTGAAAAACAGGCAATCCCATCGCGC